CCCGACTCGATCGCCTCAAAAACAAACGTGTTTGTTTTCAGTTTCAGGCGATCGAGTCGGGCGATCGGCCGATCCAGCTGTAGTGGCACCCCGTATAAGAAGACGGACTTTCCCAAAATTAGAACTCTGTGTGGACGAAACAAAGCATTTGGGCAAAATCGGGGAAAGTGAGTGGGTTTTTTAAAGTTAGGTCCTAGCCACATGAATGCTGTTGATGCCTGCAAAGTTTCAAATGTGTGGGTTAGGTAATAAGGGAGGAGTTTGTGCACAAAGCCTCTCAAGTCTACGTTTATATATACAGATAATAAGATTATTATTATCTGCTCTTCTGATTTTTGCGAACTACTCACACGCACGAAGAAGCACAATATGAAACAGAAGTAGTCCCCAGAAAAATATGAAATGGCTAAGGGCAGAGTGAAAACATCTGAGAGCTTCGATTTAAAGGAAAAACCATCTAACCTGAAGAATCAAAAGGTAGTTTCCGAACTTTGAAAATATGCCCATGTAACCCTTTGGAACAATTCTGAATCATGTTTTTGTAGATTTTGTGGGCACCGGTGTAAAAAGTTTTTTCTGTCCCCACAAACGGGCTTAGCTCTATTATAGTGAGATTATTATTGTTTTTATTATTAGTAGTAGTAGTAGTAGTATTAGTATTATCATTCTTATTGGTTTGTCTCTGTGTGTGACTCAGTATCTTAGTGTCGTTCTGCGTGAACTTCACAATGCTGGGCGGCACTATTGTGTTCCTCATACTGGCCTCCCAGAACATCCAGGAGATACTGGCTAACCTTTGTGACGTCAGAGTGTCCTTCTGCTACCTGCAGATCCTTGTGGCCGCTGCTTTGTGTCCGGTCACCTGGTTTGGAACACCCAAGGACTTCTGGTCAGTTCCCCGGAGATGTAAAGACGGGATGAGGTGGGGATGGGTAGAGTTGTGAGGAGAAGGTCTGGGCGTTGGGGATGGATAGGGCTGTGAGGAGGTGGGGAGGGGGTGGATTCCGCTGTTGAGTCGTGTGGAAGAGGGGGGAGTGGGCGGGGGATACATTGCGTTGTTGAGTTTGGTTTGGTTTGGTTTGGGGTGGGAAGAGTGAGGACGACTCCAGATGAATGGGTCTTTTGGTTAGTTTTGTTGTGTGAAAGTGGGTAGG